CCAGCTTTCCCCCTCTATAGCACCCGACAACCGGAGCGATGACTGCAGTTCCAAATAAAGCATTCCGTATAAAGCTGAAATGCGAAAGAATGCGGGGAAGACGAAATAGGTAGTGATCGTCCAGAAACTACGTCCGTTTCTTTCAAAGTCATCCTGCGAACTGCAGAAGCTCGGCGCCTGCAAAACTAGGGGTAGGCCATCCCGTAAGACACGCATGCACGGCATGCAAGATTGTGCCTACCCCTCAGGCACCATGAGAGCTGGCATTGCCTTAATTTGGAGGGTTCATAACGGCGAATGACGGACGTACTTTCTGGATGATACCTGATCGCTCTGCTTCAACGTGGTGACTTCCGTTTTCTTATTCCCTGCATTGTCCTGCATTTCAACTTCACCGGAATGCTTTATTGCAAATAAGGCATGGGCTTGGGATGTGTCAGGCACGTGGTGTGCGCCGAGAGAGCTGCTGAAAGGCGAGCCGCACAGACGGCTTGCCACAACGGTCCAACGGTTGGATTCTACCGGATTCCTCGCCGCCGCCGCGCAAACATTCCAGTCGATCTGTAAAAGAAAAGACAGAAGAAAAAAAAGGCGTTGTGTAATCATTATCGGCTGAAAGGCGCGAATCCCCGAGGCTCGTTGTACTACTATCTAAAATTAGGACGACCCGAACGATCGGAAACAATATGGCGAAGGGAGCTGGCCACGCGCTGTCCCCGCCGCTGCTGAGGAGAACCGGTACGATGCCCGAGTACGGCACGGCACTGAAAACCTTGGAGAGAGGTGTCGTTCTCGAAATGAGTGAGATAATTTTTTGCCTCGCTCAATCAGAGCGATGAACATAATGCTCAGCTCACCCTATTTGAGTCATATGCACCGAATTCTCACTCTGAAGGAGCAGGATTTCCCTGACCTCACGCAATTGCAGTGAGGAACCTCACTCTCATAGGGTGAGGACCTAAAATTATGACTCAAATTGAGTGAAATTTTCGAGAGATATCATCTCGCTCTCAGGAGAGCGAGATTTTTTGTGTCACCGATCTCGTTCTCCTGAGAGCGGGATATCTGACTCTAGCATTTTCAGTGGGTGGGGGTACGCAACCCGGGGTACGTTACCCAGGATAGGATACGTAACCCGGGGCTCGCTAGATACCGAATTTACGTGCCTCGGTTCACATTGCAGAGCGGAGCTGTCTGCTGTGCAACTTTCACTGCCTCTCGAAGCTCTCTTGTGTGTTGCAACGGTGTTCGGCGGGTTCGTGGCCATGACCTCCACTATCCTTGTGTGCTTGCAGTGCCTGCTGGCGGCGGTGCTCGTGGCGTGCGCGCTGGCCCTGCAGCAGGGCGTGGAGGCCGTGCCCGTCTACGAATTCAAGCACGAGGAGTCCGTCACCATCGCAGCGGACAACGCTTGCTACCAGAACGTGAGTCCGCTTTCAGAGTTACTCGTGAGGGGGAGACAAAATATGGCACTTACTTATCCTCGTTTTCTTTTCTTGTCTGTGTGCAGGAGGAGGTGGAGGAGCTGTGCCAGATGTGCGCCAAGAAGACCAAGTCCAACGTGGTGTACCCCATGTGCTGCCAGGACGAGGAGGAGGTCCGGCAGTGGTGCGACGCCTACGTCAACTTCCCACTACGCCAACGCCCAGAGTGACAACAAAGTGGCGCGTTTTCGTGCAAATTTTCACCTGATTTCGTCCGCGAAATGACCTAACACGTTCGTGTCCATCGGGTGATGGGTGCATAATCCTGAGGGCCCCAGAACCTCTCTTACGTGTTCAACCCATCTCGCCTCGTACGAAATGTTTCTCTCGCCGGTGGCACCCCTGGAGCCGCCAGAGCAGCTCAGCTAGAATACCCCAAAAACGACCTCCGCCAATGGTATTTCCCTCGAAGAAGAAAACACGTCGGACTGAAATGTGCGTTACTCTACAGATGGGACAGGTGTCTCTGTTTCTGCGCCTCTGGACTTGTCAGTTGTGATATGGGCTGTGTCCTGTCTCGTTGGGCTCTTATTCGACAAGGATGCGACCACTCTGTGACCAGTCCGTGACCAGTTTCTGACCAGTCTGTGACCAGTCTGCAACCTGTCTGAGGCCAGTGTGTGATCATTCCGTGACCAGAATGTAACAAGTATGTGACCAATAATATGTCACCAGTGTTCGACCAGTCGACAAGCCTCCGACGTGATGCCGATGCCATATATCTCGCTACGAGTGCCTAATGCTGTGATAAATGAACTCGGGACTGTGTAAGGTACATCCCCGAGACATGACTGCCGAACCGACATCGTAACAATGTCAATTTTTCATCTTGAACGTCGGTTTGATATCTTTTTTTGTATCCCGGCGATGTGCCGGAGAGCACGACGCGAGAGTCAGCTTTGGCTGAGCGCTGAGTTAGGCGGGCGTCCCTTCCTGTCTCTTCTAAGCTCTAGTTATTTTAATAATTTGATGGCTTTTTGGCTGTGAGTAAAATCGGTGCACCAATTAACACATTCAGTGCGGTGCGACCACAATGTGGTCACGCTTTTCTAGTTGTTCCAAGCCCCAGGAGGCACACTCGCATTGAAAGTCATTAGTCTATAAGTTTCATCCTAAACCCCATGTATGTACCGGGTGTTTCAGAGCGGACACCGCAGTGTTGCGGGTTTGCCTACTCCCTTCGCCCGTAAGGCGTCATGCCCCCCACGGGTCTAGCGAGTATGTATTGCCGCAAGCCTGCAGTATTCGTTCTGAAAACCCTTACGTGTCCACGAAGTATATGGTATTCCACTTTGATATCCAGACAGGAATTTTTTTTTAAAAAAAAGTACTTGCTTCAGAAGCAAGTTACGACAAAGTTGTTACCCTTTAAGATTTGTGTATAGTCCATCCATGCTGGCAATCATTTGAGTTCGTCCCACTTTGATAGTTTTGTATTGTTTGTAAGAGTGTCAATCAAAGAACAGGAATGCAAACATTTCACAATTATTTACAGATAGTCCTTCAGGGTCCCTGCGTAGTCCCTGTCAGTAGTTATTTTGCCTCCGTCCAGGCACAAGTTGTCAAATAATTTCTGCTCTTTAACTGTGACAGAATTGTGTATGCCCCCATTAAAGGTGATACGTACCATTATTATTAATAATCCCGTCCATCTTACGAATATGTGTTTTACCATTTTTATACTTAAGTATTTTATTTTTTTATTCTAAGATGTAAGAAATGCTCATTTATACCATTCAATGAACCACACGAATTGTTCCATGTGATGCCCATACATGTTTCAAATAAATATGATTTCTGAGTGAGATTCCTCTGAGTGCAGTTCTTTTCTTGTGTTGAAATCCTTGTCACACATACTCAGCGAGTTGACGTGACGATTCAGAAAATCGAGCGGCGCGCTCACACTCTGATAACGACAGTTCCATAATACAATGTGGTGAGAGCAGGGCATTTTTGTCTTTTGTCCTCATCCTCTGACGGCAGGACACTTTCAGTCTGTCTGTCTTCATGTCTTCATAGCGCCTGCTACGCGCTGGGTAGGCCACCCCGCCAAGCAGCTGTGCAAAGGTGGCGGCCCGCCCTAGGAGAGGGGGGAGGGGGGCAAGGGGGGCGCTTGGGACGGTTCGGACACTCCTTAACATCCTTGCGTGGTTCGGACGCGGCGGCGGCGGGTAAAAGCAAGAGAGGACGGTGTAAATGGG